CTAAGTCCCAAGGGTGCCAAGCAACAACCAAGGCCAGCCACACACTCCTTTTATAGCCCCAAGGGCTAAAATAGCTATTACCCCTTCCTTTGGGTTGTCGTACGTTGGCCGGACCTGTGTAGGGAGCACATGATGTGTTCGATTAGTAGAGTTGGTCACTCTGCAAGTAGCACAGGATGCGTCGGTCATTCTCCGAGCGCCACGTATTTTATTTGTTTGAATGTTACCGTTGGGCACCACTTGACTCTCATTCTGTGCCAAATGAACTCTCGTCGGTCACTTGACCGGACCTCCTATTCTTAGCATCGGTTAAAGCAAAGAGGTTCAGAGAGGGTTTTGGTGACTAAGCGCGTCCGGTCACGCATGACCGGACTCTCTCTGCGATGACCGGACGCGTCTTGTCACTGTGGTGCAGTCACGCTCCTACTAGTGTGCTAGCTTGAAGGCGATGTAAGGCGCGTTCCGGTCGTTTGCCCAGATGCCGTACGTCCGGTCACTCGGAACCCGGCGTCCGGTCACACCTAGTGACCCCTATCTCTTCTCTTTTCATCCCTTTTAACTCAAACTTCTTCTCCTTTGCAAATATGCTAACACCACCAAGTGTACACCACGATGTGTAAGTGTGTTAGCATTTTTACAATTATTTTTCAAAGGATTAGTCACTCTTTTCACCACGCCACTCGATCCTAGCAATGATGCAAAGTTAGATCACTCGAGTGGCACTAGATTACCGATATGCAAACTATTTTGCCCCTCTTGATAGTACGGCCATCTATCCTAAACCTGGTCATGCACTTCTCTACACAACCTTTGACCGGTGAGATCAAATGACCTACAAATATACCTTTGCCTTGCGCATTCCATTCCATCTCCTCCGATATTGATGCAACACATGCACCAACTATATCACAAATGATATGATCCACTTCATATCATCACGTGACCTTAGTTCATCGATCTTGACCTCACTTGCTTTTCACCATTGTCTTTGTCTATCGGCGCCAAGTCTTGCTCAAGCTTCACCGTCACGCAGTCCATCCCTCCAAAGCCTTCAACTTGACCTTCACGCTTGCAACCTGTCCATCAAGCCAAGTCTTGTCTGGATCTTCTCTACCTTAGTGTTGGCGGTCCTTAACTCAAATATTTTTTCCGCCAAAGTGCATTAAAATGACAACATTCCATGCTACATCATAACAAACTATTATTTTATCTAACAAGTTCCACGAGTTTTGGTGTTCTCACTTGTTTTGTAGGATATTTAATTTTCCACAAAACAAAACTATCTGAAATGACAAAACGGAGTACACCATTGCGAATAGCACGTCGAGACGATCAAAATGGATATATTGTTTGCTATATTTGGGGATCCAAATAAATAGATATCAAATTCACAAATTAAAAACGAGTGCTGACGTCATCGCTGACGCCAGCACCCCAACACTGCCATGCACCACCTATCAGGAGCGGCCACGTGGTGGCAGCACAGTCAGCAACAGCAGCTGCTGCCGGCGGCAGTGCCTTTGCCCGCGCGCGTGGAAGACAAGGTGGACCATGGTGGCCCAGCTGACCCCACGGCTGCAGCCGATGCCGGGACAGGAGGAGGCAGGCAACGGGGCCAGCCACTTCCCTGGCGACGCGTGGCACGGCGGTTCCCCTCACGCGAGAACGCGCGCGCTGGCGGGGTGCGATGCTGCTCGCCCGAGCCAGGCTGAAGGACGCGTGGCGGCCCTGGATTGGAGGAGCGATGGCGGTGGCGCGGTCCAGCACGATCTGCGCAGATTTGGCTGGCTAGACCGGCCGGTTTGGCCCGAGTTTTGGCCCAGGAAGCCGATTGTCTTCCCAGTAAATGCAGACAGCGCATAGTTTTGTCGGTTTAGCGCCGGTTCAAGGCCCAGAAGCATGGTTTTCATCCGGTTTTTGACTAAGGTCGGTGGAGGAATTAATTTGCCGTGATCCTAGGCTCCAGCACCGACTACAGGAGGTCGGCAACTCCCCAGGTTGCCTAAAATTAGAGGAAGAGAGCTAGGAATATTCCTTCCCTCTCCACTATAAATAGAGACCATCATCTCCACTTGAAAACACACCTACACACAAGAGCTTCATTTCTCCATCCTATATTTGTAGTAGTGTCCCTCTAGTCTCTCACCTAGTTGTAGTATAGAAAAGAGGGAAAGAGGCAACACGAGAGCTGAGGGGGAGCCGGGTCGATCGGATCCTCCTTGACTTTGTACCTCGGTGGTCGTAGCTGATCTTCTAGCTACATCCGGAATATTACTCCGGTATTTCTGGCTTATCTAATTACTTGATATTAGTATTTATCTCAAGTTTATTCATCGGATTCCCGCTTGCATCAAGTGCTCTAGTCTTTGCAAAACTAGAGTAGTAATCTATAGATTAGGCGTGGTGCTTAGTCTTGCGATTACACAGGTTGCACCCAACCCCACGGATAGTTGTGGTAGCCCTAGGTGATGATAATACTGACGGTGGCGTAGTCCATCATGTTCGGGTTGGTGTTTGTAGGACCGTGGTCGAGCTTCCTAACCCCTTCACATCTTAGTCCGTGGCTAGTATTCGATGTCCCAAAGTAAGTAACCTTGAAATAACTTTGATCCTTGATTATTTAAGATTGGCGAGAGACCTTAGGAAATTCCTCATTTACCCACAAAAACATCTTTCTTATCTTTTTTTATCTTTGGTTGAACTTGATCCTTAATTAGTACACTTCGCGTTCCTCATGGAAACCGATACCTTAGAATACTCCCGGATAAAAGCTACAACGGTATCCGTGTGCTTGTGGATTTATCTGTTTGTGTTAACAAATACCAACAGCTAGTCACATAACTCCATGTCATGTCTCATATGCAATGAGCTCCTTCATCACATGTGTGAGCCTTGCAACATTTCTAAGCCATCTTTATCGTCATGGCATGAGTTGCTCACATAAGTGTATACGTGGACTAATCACATGTGTATCTCACATTTAATACATTAGTTCACCTAAGTTGTCACTCAATTACCAAAACCAAACAAGAATATTTCACTAGCGCTCTCCACATTAGAAAAATAATATCTTTTTTGTATGAAGTCAAATGAAGATATTTTTTATACCAAAGTTGTAGCTCTCAATGATATCTACAACTTTGTAGTCTTGAGTTTTTACATTTAAAGTCGTTAAGATGCTCGAGAAAATAATATAAAGCTTCAACAGCATATTAATCGTGCATAAGGGCTTGTCGCCTCAAAAAATTATGTTTTTCTGTCGCCTCAAAAAATTATGTTTTTCTTTATAGGTGTCAAAACGAAGATTCCTTTTATATCAAAGTTGTAGCTATTGACGAGATGTACAAGTTTTTTAGTTTTGAAGTTTTTCATTTGAGATCTTCAAGGTGCTCAAGAAAACAATACAAAATTTACCAAATCTTACTTTTTTTAGAAAAAATCATATGATTCCATTTAATGTTGAATAAATACACTTTTTTATATGAATGGTTTAGCTCTCGATAAGATCTACATCTTTCATTCAAAATTGTTTTTATGCGACATCAAAATAAGAAATATATGGTTTTTCTCTAAAAAGATAAGCTTTTGTACACGATTAATATGCCCCTTAAATTTTCTATTATTTTCTTAAACATCTCAATGATCTCATAAAAAACTTCAAAACTAAAAAGATGTTGACCCAATCGATAGCTACAACTTTGATATTAAAAGTATCTTCATTTGACACCTATCAAGAAAAACGTAATTTTCGTGAGGCGACAAGCCCTTATGCCGCGATTAATATCTCTTTGAAGCTTTATATTATTTTCTCAAGCATCTTAATGACCTCAAATGTAAAAACTCAAAAAAGTACAAAGTTGTAGATGCGGCCACCTTCTCGCCGATGTAGCTCCGACAAAGAAGTCCTCCCCAAAGCCCTCGAGCACTTGATGAATATTGCCCAAACCCTATTCCTCTCTCTCCAATCCATATAATGTGGGCCTAGCAATGGATTAGTGTCGATGAAATGCCATCAACTACCTTGCCATAGCCTCCCGCTCTCCTATGTGACATGGAGATGCGAACCATCATGAGCGATTGTTCATTCCAAGCCATCGCTACTCTCGCCCTTCACCCTTGCCTTACACGCTCCACAAACAATCATTACCCATGCCTCTCGTCTTCCCTTGTTCCATATCCTCATGGTCCCACAAGACAACCGCAATGGCTGGCAACCCACGCGTGCCTATTGGCCTCTCAGACACCTTCTCCTTTTGCTCTTTTACCACTCAACAAGAAATGGGGCCCAACCCCACCTGTCATGCCCGCACCATTTCCCCTTCCCCTTGTCCCTTTCTGGCATGAAGAGAGCTGGCACCACTCTCTCCCCCTTCTCTCTTCGTTCCTTCTTCCCTCCTTCCATATATTCCTTCCTCCCTCCTTCCCTCCAATTTAGACCTCTGGCTCATTAAGAAAAAGCTAGATCTAGCCAATTATTTTATGTAAGGCTACAATGGTCATTTATCCATTTAAAAAGGGTAGCTTGGACATTGTGTCTATACCTAGTAAACTGAAGTTGAATCCATTTCCATCCCCAATATAAGCTGGACCACCACTAAAGAACACATTGAAGGCCACCCCCACTCAACCCAATGGATTTTTTTGAGCTAAATAGTCAAGATTTTCATATACTATCCCAAATAAACACATACGTTATATAATTATAAATATAATAAATAGTGGGAGTAGCAATTTTCCAACTATACCTAAAGTAGCATTGGGATCCTAAGGTAGCTACAGTGGGTGATTGTACCGTCCAATCTGAAATGAGCGGTCCAGAATGGAAGCTACAAAGCAAATGCTAAATTCCAAAAAGGTTTGTAGAGTGACTGTATCAACTGTGCATACACTACATTGACAGTGCCACAGAAGATCCAGTTCCAAACCTACTTAATGTTTTCCTTCTGCTTTAAGTTTCTTGGCTATCACCTAATCTCTCTTGTCCCTCCCAAATTTCCCCAATGCCCCGTCGGCCCTTCGCCGCCATTGTCGCTGCCGCCGCCGCCGCCGCTGCCATTGATGTCGTCGATGCCGCCGCCACTGATCACATCTCCCTTCCAAGGTTCGCCTCCACCACCCATAGAAAGGCACTTCTTTTAAAGTAACTTGTTGCGCTAAGTTCTTGCTATATATCCTAGCTGCAGGGATGATATGGCAACCCAATCCAAGGTGACATCATCTAGATGCACCACTCAGGCGGAGATGGGCACGCACACATTCGAGATCGTCAGGTACAGCCTGATGAAAGGCATGTGCATCGGCAAATTCGTCCAGTCGGACATCTTCACCGTCGGTGGCCACTCTTGGGCCATTCGCTTCTACCCTGACGGCGTCACCGATGGCACCAGGATGTTCGCTTCCGTCGCTCTGGTACTGATGGACGAGGGCGCTGAGGTGAGGGCATTCTATGATCTGTTTCTGGTGAACCAGATTAAATGTCGATCAGAGAGTATTATGTGTTCCGAATCCACTGCGACCATGTTTGTAAATGACGCAATTATTTTGTTGCAAGAGAAAGAAAGTGGAGCTTCCATCGAATGGCTACATCGAGCGATCGCATGAACATTCAATGTGATCTCACGGTTAAATCAAGGATTCTGAGCTATGCAAAACAAAGGGGCTTGAAATTCAAGTGCCACCCTCGGACCTATCGAGCATTTTAGTAGGTTGTTGTTCTCTGAAGAGGAAGCGGAGCGTGATTTTTAGTGTCCAAGGAGAGACTTTCCCAGCGCACAAGATCATACTCGCCACGCGGTCCCCTGTGTTCAAGGCACAACTGTATGGAAAGATGAAGGAGACCAAGGCGTGGTGCGTGACCGTGGAAGACATGCAGCCTGATGTTTTCAAGTACCTGCTGAATTTCATCTATACTGATGCGCTGCCTGTCTTTGATGATGACATCGACGACGATGATTACAGTGAGATGATCAAGCATTTACTTGTGGCTGCAGATAGATATGCCATGGACAGGATGAAGCTGCTGTGTGCAAGTGTTCTTGTCGAGAACCTTCGTGTGGACACTGTGGCAACCACCTTGGCCTTCTTGGACCAGCATAACTGCAAGAGCCTTAGAGACATGTGCATTGAGTTTATGGCCTCTTCAAATAGGATAAGAGATGTTATGGCCACTCAAGGACATGCAAATCTCAAAAGAACATGCCCTTCTGTCATAGTTGATGTACTAGAGAAGACAGGCAGGTGCCGCAAAATATAGATGGTCATTTCATTACTTATGGGGAGTAGGCAGTTTAGTTCTTATAATTATGTCTTTTTTTTACTAGAGTACTATATGGTGACTAGCATATGTGGATGGTAAGTTTAATTTTAATTAGCTTCTTAAATTATGTTGCACATCTTATCAAGCTACTGGATTAAGAATCAATGTTTGGCCATGTCACTGTCACAACTTTGTAACGCAGAACTTCAATGTCAGTAACAATCGCAAGTCGACGAAGGAACACAGCGATGTTATCATAATGTCAATTGCATTATATTAATCTGACAGATAAATCTTTGTATGCAATCTTGCATATAATTCTTTGAGGCCCATATGATGCAAACATGCCTTATTTTAGTTTATGTGCTTTATGATACCTAGTTTTGTATTATAGCACACGGATACAACATCTTGGTGAATATATGGTTTTCATTGATAAACCATTAGAGTCCCATGATAGTGTAATCTTTGGGATAATCCTGTTGATCGTCAATCATATATGTCCTTTGAGGCTAATGTCAGCTGAAATTGGGTTATCTAGTTATTAATAAGTAGTCAAATTTCAATTAAACATAATGCAGAAAATGGGGCATCTCTGGTCCTAGTGTCCTAGATCTAGTACACTAAAATGCAAGTACGTGCACTATTGGCGCTTGTTTTTCTGTTGTTTCCCTGGAATTGACATAGAAATACAATTCTCTTTGTTACTATATCATTAGTATCATGTAGATGCAATTCTATGATTTTATAACTTCTTACGATGCAAGTTTTATTTGGAAACAAATTTTAGTTGTCCAAATGGTTATTGACTTTATCCAAGATGGATCCAAAAGTTGTTGCGGTTAATGGCATGTGGAGTTATTTTAGGACTGCAAATGAGAGTTCGCCTTGGTGTCTAGTTCTAGGAATTATGATTATCCTATGTTTGCTTGTCCATAATATGCAAGACAATTCCCTTGTTTAATTTTTATTGTTATGAACTTTTTTGGTAGCTATGGTCCAAGTGATTATGGAAATTGACTTTACTATTGATAAGTGATTTTAGAAATTATTGTCCTGTTCGTAGAATCGGTTCTCATTCTTTTTTTTGGAAGGGTCAGCACAAGCTTTGCCGAGATATATTAGTACGAGAAAGTTAAAAAAAATGGATGTATAGAATATTTACAAAACATGAGAACCCAAAAGACACAACAAAAGCACAACTAGAGGAACAACGTCTGTCCACACAAGACTAAAAATACAGGCTTGTTATCCATCTTGATCATTTTCAAACGCTATGGAATACTGATGAATGTCTTCTTTGATTAGGTATCGGTTGTAGCTCTTTGTGCTGAAATGTTCTTGGTTTCGTTGCTTCCATATGTTCCACCAGAAATATATTAAGATCCCGTCGAACTCCTTTCTTCTATCCTTATCAATTCTTCTCTTCTTCATTTTCTCCAACATTTGTAGACCAACTGTAAGTTTGTGCTCACCTATGGTGCTTAGTTCCATCCACACACTCTCACAAACTGATGATTGCCCAAACTCTTTTTGTTGTAGGTGCAATCTTTGCATAGATGCCTCTGGATTTTCTTGTTCGTTATTACATAACTTACAAATTGGTTCTAATTCTCAAGGCAAACAAAATGCTAGTCCAGTCTATTCCCCGAACCAACAATGGTGCTTGTTCAATACATTCCCTCATCCAAATGGCTCTAAGTCATCATCCGATCCGAGTACGAGTGAATCCATGTCGGACGTGCTGTTGCCGAACGAGGCCACTCCCCCAAACCAAACATGCTGCAAATACACATAATGAGTCCTTTGGATGTTATGGTGATTCGAACAACCCCAAAAGGTACTTTTCCCATGAACACCACGACCCACCCTGCCTTGCCCCCAAAAAAATTCTAATCTAAGCAACTAAAAAATATCCAAAAAAAGAAAAATGAGAAATTAAAAAAATAATATACATGATTAGACTTAGATCAGATGGCAATGGAGAATTCCCCGTCGCGGAATGGCTCCCCATCCCCGTCCCCACGGTGAAATTTTTTCCCATCCCCGTCAATGTTGTCGGGGGAGCGTTTCGCCCCATCCCCACGCGGGGATTAAATCCCTGCAGGTCCCGTCCCCGTCAGAAAGATCAATCAAGTCCGTCACAGTGAGCAAAAGCAAATCTAAAATCTCATCTAAAAAAATACTGCCAGTTCCCAGATGTGCATCGAGCAATACGATTTTTCCCACATGCTGATTGCCAAAGAAACGGAGCTAGTTCTCATCTCACAAAATACAAAGAAACTACAATGCATAAACAAACAATATTACAACAACCCTTAAATCACAACTCTTTTGCTTTACTTCTTTGTCTCCATCTTTGGCCACCCACGCACACGACGCGACTTCATGGGAAGGCACGACGGCATTGTGATTTGTCACCACGTCAGGCAAGCAACTTGGTCTGGACTCTGGAGTCTGAGTACGTCCGCATGTGACTGCGTGAGGACTAGAACTTGCGAGCTTGCTTGGCCAGTGGCCACCTGCTCGCTCCGCAGCGTGTACTCGTGCAGGAGCCTCGCCCGAGCGACGGCGGGTGCTCGGGCCAGAGTCTCAGCTGCCGCGCGTCCTCCGGCTGGACCTGGAGGTACAGCCGGTCGCACCAGTCGAGGATCTGCTCGTCGGTGTCCACGCGGTCAGAGATGGAATCGCAGCCTCGCTGGCCATTCGTCCTCTTTGCGCGCGCTCGGGTCTAGAGCTCGCGCCACTGTGGAGCTCGCGCGCGGCTGGCCCGCGCCGACGTTTGGAGCTCGCGCGCCCCATCGGGCCTGTCGGGCCGCCTTGCTTGCTTGCTTGCCTTCGATTGCATTGCTTCTGTTGGTTGATACAGTTCCGAGAAAGGATTGCAAGTGTTGGTTGGAGGCCTGGAGCGAGGGGAGAAAGAAGAGTGGGAGCAGAGGATCTGGATGGGGGAGTTGTGAATGATTAGATAGACACCAGGAGATAAAGCTTGCATTTGTAAAACATGGTTTTTCTTGATACAGTTTCCTAGGGTATAGAAACCAGTATTGGTTTCTGCATTGTGTCACAATCTACAATGATTGTGAGTGCCCTCACGATTGTCCGAGATGAAGTCCAAGAACGCTTCATGACATCTCCAGACGTTCGGCGAGCATAGTCGCCAACACATGTTCATACTTGTTTTATTGTAGATTGTTTCTTCTGTTATAACATGCTGATGCTGTCGATTCTAGTATGATGAAATCATCAAAGTGATCTTTATTTCATCACTTCCAAACAGTTTAATTTGCATCTTTTGGTACTAGAGGCAAAGGACGACTCGTCGTCAACAACAATGCACGCACGGCGACGTTGTTCCATGCATGACATGACACTGAGTCACTGACATGATCTCCAAACCTTGGCAGCGGACTGGACATCTTGTCTACAGGAACATTATTCGAGATAGTTGATCAGTTTGGGGCTTTATTTGGGCGCATCTCGATACATGCATGCGAGCAAACATCAGCGTCGTTCACGATCACGCAGCGGCCTCCTTGTCTACTACCCTGGCCATTGAGGTAGTGATGGTGGGCTCGCCGAGCGCGAAGGCGTCCCAGAACCCGTCGGCGAAGGTCTTGACGTTGAGCTTCTTGTACAGCGCCGGGCGGGCGTCGTCCACCAGCTCCTCGGCGGGCTGCAGGTCCCTGTGCGGCTCCGGCTGGTAGAAGAGCACCAGCGACATCCTCTCCCTGTGGCTGGTCACCACGCGGTGCGTCGGCGCCCTGAACACCGCGTTGCTCATGATCTCCATCTCGTCGCCGACGACCACCAGCAGGTCGTAGCCAAGCACGGGCACGTCGACCCACCGGCCGTCCTTGAGAACCTGGAGGCCGCCGACGTCGCGGTCGAGGAGGAGCGTCGTGATGACGGAGTTGTCGGTGTGGGGCTTCAGCCCGTGCACGAGGTCCGGGCGCGGGCACGGCGGGTAGTAGGTGAGCCGTGCGTACGTCGCCACCTTCTCGCCGACGTGCCGGCCGACGAAGAAGTCCTCCCCGAAGCCCAGGGTCCGCGCCATGGCCCTGAGCACCTGCTTGGCCACCTGCTCGCTCCGCAGCGTGTACTCGTGCAGGAGGTTGCCGAGCGACGGCGAGTGGTCCGGCCAGAGTCTCAGCTGCCGCGCGTCCTCCGGCTGGACCTGGAGGTACAGCCGGTCGCACCAGTCGAGGATCTGCTCGTCGGTGTCCACGCGGTCGGTGCCGTAGCCCTCGTTCTGGAACTCGCCGCCCTCCGTCTGGTTGGCGTACTTGAGCTTCTCCTTGGACGGCAGGTGGAAGAACTCTCTTGCCACTTCCCGGATGTCGTCCAGGAGCGCCTCCGGCATGCCATGGCCGGTCACCTGACAATTTATTTCAAGTAACAGCTCATGCTGACACATGCCGGTCACCATTTGTACACTTTAAAGGCGTGTACGTGGAGTCAGCAATATATATATATATATATATATATATATATATATATATATATATATATATATATATATATATATGTATGTATGTATGTATGTATGTATGGCCGTGCTATACATACGTACCGCGAAAGCCCCCAGGACTGGAGCGCCGCCTGAAGTTTGGCGGCCTCGTCCGTGTCGCCGGGCTCAGCCAGGCGGCGCACGTCCACGGGGGAATTCCAGCTCCGGCGCCGCGCCGCCACCGGTTGGACGGTCCTCCTCCCTGAGCACGTACCGGCTCGGCGGCGCGGGGGAGGCCGCCGGTGGCCAGCTCCTGCACAAGCTGCCCCTGAGCCTGATGCACCATGCTTTCTAGCTGCCGAGTGCCGGAACGTCTGGCTGCTAAGTGCCGGTACGTACACTTGTGAGTTCTCCCTGTTCAGTACACAGTGGCCAGAGGACAATTTATAGCAGGGAGCTCTCCTCTTGTCACTTATAGGGGCCCGTGACGTTTGGAGCTGCTGCTAGAGAGATGCGTCCAAAAGGGTGTCATCGTGTTCGTCTTCCATTGAGGTACTTCGAGCCTATCTATTATTTTTCTTCAGTAAGGAAAGATTTTTTAAAAAAGACAAAAAAAGATTTTATTAAACTTTGAAGACAATTAGACCGAGTTGATACAACCATCCTAAACCTACTCCTAGTTTCTGTAAGCAAATGCACACGTCTAACAACAAAACTACGCGTGTATATCAAAGCTTCACAATTACGCGTCTCGACATTGATGGTTATATCACATATTATTGAAAGAAATATAGATGTGTTTGATCAGTGGGTATCCACTCTGCTAAGCATCCAAGGAATTGCTTGGTTATTATACGAGCATAAATCATGTTCTAAATTTTTTTGGGACATACACCTAGATGAAAACATCAGTGTCAAAATGCAATACATACTATGACCATCTTTAACAGGGCTTGGACTTCTCCAATAAGGGCTCGTTCGATTAGAACTTTTTTCTGGCAGGAATAGTTCTAGATGGAGAGCTAGCTATACAAATTACATATGCATTCCTGGTAGGATTAGTTCCAGGACTTAGATTCCAGGAGAACCGAACGGAGCCTAAGGAAGAAGTAAGAGAAAAGGCATGTTTTGGTAGAGCTCTAAATGGATTCGGTTTCATTGTTTTTTTTTTTGTTTGTTTGTTTGTGCTTCAGAAGCCATTCTTGTGTGTGCTCGTTTGGTAGAGCTTTTAATTAGAGAAACCACTACAAGTCTACAAAAGCCATACAAAGAGGGCTATATATAGTCCGTAAAGCTACATTGTTGTTGGGTATAATTGCGATCTTCCATGACTTGAGCGGATTGCGATCGAATTTGGTGATGCGAATGGCACGTCACCATTGCACATAACTTCGTGATGCTTGCCGGGATATTTTTGGGAGCTAAATGCCAGTCCTTGTAATGAGCTTTCACTGTGTTACGATTGGGTGATCCACTATGTGGCCTTCGTTTCTTTTGATTGTTCAAAATTGATGGATATCTATTACTTTTAATCTTCTTGATTCAAAATAATGCAGATGCTGACCAGAGTGATGTCAAAATGAAGCAACCCATCAACAAATGTATTGCGAACTCGTAGACATGGTTTGGCTCCAAGGAAGAGGATCGGCACGAAGAGGGAAACGTCAATCAACATCAGTTCCAAGAATACTCACGGTTGGAAAAACTTGTTCTCCTAAAATTTGGTTAGGCAATACTATGCATGATAGGGCAAGACAATTCTATCTGGATAGTAGCCTTTTTCCGGTTCACAAAAGCAGTGTATGTATACAAAATGACAGATGTACAAAATCTTCATCAGGATGGATGTGCAGCAACAGGCCAACAGCCACGCCTTCCGCTCAACTCAAGCATTAGAACATACTTTCTCTGGGAATGATGGTTAAAAACATGGCATTAGCACCCAAAAAAAACAAGGAAGTTTCCTTGGAACTGCCAGAAGCTGATGCATTGTTTTAATTAAAGAGAAGCTTGTACCTTTGGAACTGCTGCAGCACAACCGGTCATCGTCCACGTAAGTTGCATTCAGTCCCATCATCCATGAACCTACTGATATGTCGTCGTGTGCATAACTCTGCAGTGATGCACTGTGTGACAGAGAAGACAAAGCTGAGCTGAAGAAAGAAGACCTGGTGGGCAGAAATAAAGCACCAGAAAAAGGAAGAGCTTCTGTCCAGACAAAAAATTGGTAGCACATATTTCTCAATAGAAACATCTAATGCTCAAATTTTGACATGGGAATGCTTAAACGTGTCCTTGCATCTTGAAAATAACGGTGATATTTATCCTTGACAGAATATGACATGATGTGTGTTCCTTAGGAAGTAAATTAAAATAGCATTCTAATCAATGCACTCATTGATAATCCGTACATAGCGTGGTATTCAGTAATAATTATTTGGATAACTATCATGGCAACATACGATAGGGATTTAGATATAAGAAACTAAAGTTGAAAAGAAAAGATTAGTTCTTTCATCCACAACAAAACATTCAGCCCAAATATGTCACATTCAGTCTGATGTAATCCAACTCCTGCATCAGCATAAGATGTTCTGCAGATTCAAAAGCTCAGGGACTGTTGCACATACTATTAATCTAGCTAACTAGGATGGTGTTGCTCAAAGCCAGTTTAACTTGATATTGGTTAAGATGAAACAGGGAGACACAAATGACATATCACTTACCTATTTATGTTGATGTAGCGTGCCAAATTTTTTGAGAGGATAAACAAAGAACCAGAAGCATGTCGAAAATACCTGTTTTTATGAATAAAGTGAATCAGTCAGTCAACATGAAAAAAGCATGACAGAGACTGCATCTTGAATGAAAAAACCTAGAAACTTCTGTCACATATGAGTCCACCCCAAGAAAAAGGCCCATAGAGGTTAAGTATGTACTTAAACCAATGGGAAAAAAACCAAAGAATATAACTGAATAACATCAAGTGCAAAAATTGTGCTGAAACTGGAAGTGCTGGGTAGTGGGTCCAATAGTTGGTGTCACTCTTGTTAGAGTATATTTGATAGTTTAGGATTGTAATTTGATATTGCCATATGTATCTGGGGCCTGGGAGGCAATTTGCCCCCCAAGTCTCTGTACTCTATATACTGCCCGAGAGGCTCAATACAATATATCCCACGCATTATGTCGTATCTACTATGCTTTCATGGTATCACGGGTTTAGGTTTCGTTCCTGAACCCTCAGGCTTCCCGCTATCATCACCATTGCGCCACCCCTGGGGAGATCGATCTCTACCAGGGGAAGCACCCTTGTAATTAGGTTGGGCTGATCTAATTGATCTGCCCTGTGTATCATTGTCAAGCAGCATGGGGCGGCAGCAGGCCAGCAGCAAGCATCCTACACTGTGTTGTCAGGCTAATCTACCATTGGCATTGTAGGACCACGTGACCGTCTCGCGCCCGACTGTGCCGCGCCGTGGCCGCCACATCAGCGGGAATTGTGCCCTATAGGATGCTGTCCACCAGCTGGGCCATGCCACACCGCTGGTTGGGTCACATCGTGGTTCACCATGCCAGGCAGATGCTGCTGCTGTTTTTTCTTCAATCAAAGATTGGGGTTGTGTTTCCCTATGTACCGATTCCTCAACGTTGGATCGTCGACCCTCCCAAGCTCGAGGTTGTCATTGCATGCCCTCCTAGGCAACAATGACACTGCTCGTGGTCAAACTATCTTCATGGTCGCCGCCTATCCAAGCTGGCACCACCCATGCTGTCGGTCCTCCTCAAGCTCACTCGGGATCCGAGTTCGTGCTTACTGCCGCCACCTCTAGAACATCACCAGTTCACCACTAATGTCGCTAACGGATGATGTGTGCGGGCTTATTGATACGGCCGAGCAGCCCGATCTACATTCACCATTTGGTCGGCTCTATTAGAGATATGTATAGTCTATGTACCTTACTTGTACTCCAAGTTGTATCTTGGCTATATATATGAAAGTTACCCCTCCCTAATGGGTGTGACGTGTTTTCCCTATTCTACATGGTATCGGACCATGGGTTCCCTTCCGGCCCCTCCCTCTGCCCTAGCTTCTCCCCACGCCGCCGCTTCCACAGCCGTGCAGCCACCCCTCACCCATGCGATCTCCCTTGCGCGCAGCCGCCACCTCCCGCGTGGACTCTTCCCTAGACTCATTGTCCTGCTGCAGTCATTGACAAGTTGGTGATTATGTGTACTCATGTTCCTATGTTGATGCTTCAGACCAGCGCCTCCCTCCACTGCTCTGACCACATCCACCTTGACCTCGGCTACTTCGTTGACAAAACAGGATATCGTTCGGAGCTACTCGTCAGTTTCCACTCCATGCAATGTGACGTTGCTACGACAACGAGTGGATTAGTCTTCGATTTCTTCTCTAGTTTGATTGTCTGCGATGCTCTCTCTACGATGCAGAGGGATATTTGAGTATATTTAGTAGTTTAACATTGTATTCGACATTGCCATATGTATCTGGGAAAGTGGGAAGGCAACGTGCCCCCCAAGTCTTTATACTCTATGGGTGTGTTTGGTTTCCTGGCCTGCTTTTGGCCTAGCTAGCCATCTAAGCCTGGGCAGTCTAGGCCTACTTCAACCAAGCCAATGACCAGTTCTGCCTGCTAGCAAATGGTGTGTTTGGTTGTCTGGTTTGTTTTGCATAGAATCACCTCTTCTTTGAGCTGGTAAGTTTACCCTCTTGAGACATTTTGTCGAACCGTTGGTGGGCATGCTCAGCTGCATCCTCCTCCGCCACACGAGCTCGTCGGGCGACCCCGCCGCCATGCCACGTGCCCCAGCTGCGCGAGCCCAGTGGCGCGCGATACCGCTGCCACACCGCGCGAGCCCAGGAAGCCATCGTGAGAAAGGTATACTATGTCGCCACCGCGCAGGTTGGTCGTCATGAGGTGCTCGACGTTGGGGTGCTCGGTGGGGTGCAACGACACGGGGTGTGCTCCTGGAGCTCAGCGCGACGCTCTGCAAAGCGGGAGGTCCTGTGGCCGGGACTGAAGGGTCTGCTCCTGGAGCTCGGCACGGCACTCGACAGAGTGGGAGGTGTGGTGGCGGGGAGCCAGGTACCGAAGGGGTCGCTACTGGAGCTCAGCTTAGCGCTAGGGGGACTGAGAGGTGCGCGACGAGGACCGAAGGGTGATAGGTGAGGAAGTGTGGACCCGCGTCGGGAGTGAGGCGAGCGCAAGCCCAGTCATGCTCCGAGAAAACGGACACCCCCCGCATTTTTGTTAAGCCTGGCTAAGGGGGCGTCGGTGAGCCTCAACCAGGCTACCAAACACTTCAAAGGTTGCATTGCGGAAGCCTGGACAGGGATAGTGCAGGTCACCAAACACTCCCTATATGGCTATATATATCGCCCAAGAGGCTAAGAATGCAATCTATCCCACGCATTATACCCAATCTACCATGCTTTTCATTCTCAAATTTAAAAATAAACCGGAATGGACTTCATAAGGTCAAAAAGGCATCAACTCATGGTGAAATTGCCTATTGCACTCAACTCATGGTTGTGAAAAATTGAATGAGCTCTATTGGAGATACTATCTCTACCCAGGGGTATCCTCTTAGTAGGAAGCAAGCATTTTATTACTTGCCAACCGCCAAACATGGTGCAAATATAAGTATTTGAATGCTCTTATAGCAAGAATATGGTATCTACTAACAGGAAAAAGAATAAATTCATTCAGGAGAATGAGAAGATGGCAATTAACTCACGTTTTTGAATCTCCAAATTTCCACCAGTCAGGTTCATACCATTGTTGGCCCCTAAAATTGAGATTGACAACAGAATCACTTTGATAGTTGACTAACAAGAGGCAAAGAAATCCAAAATGAAATGCCGCATAGATGAAAAATGCAATACAAAGCACATGTTTTCTCAAGTTCATACAGTGGTAGCACAAAAGCGCATTAGTTTTTCATCAGAATTATTTGCTAACTAGATTGAACTATCAAAAGAACTGACTGCAAAAGGTTACTCAAACATTTGCTCAGTGCATTCCACTACATGGCACAACTTTGGAAGGATTATGCATCCCTACTGAATCAACAAAAAAAACGGACTTCTACTTAAGAATGAGATGGCTTGGAGTTGGAGTCAGAGATACCATACGCGCTAGGCTATCAATAAATTAAAACCTGATGATTAAGTAAAGAGAGCACATACTCTTCACTTATGACAACCCCTGATTTCATACAACCCATATACAATCCTTGGCTACCTCGACGGCCTTGAGCATCTCAATTAACCCAGCTGACAGAATAATTGCAAGAGGTTAGTTTAAAAGGAAGGGCAAGATCAATAGAAGTACTGTAAATCAGCATACACAGAGAACATAAAAAAAATATACCTAAGTCAAGATTAATGTTATCCTCAACTTTCACATAGAATTCTGCATCCCAGGTTTCAACTCGGCACTGAAGAAAAACTTTGCTTTGCTCGGTAATTCTTCTGCAGCCTCTTCTTGACTTTCCTGCCCAATCCAAAATGCTTACAATTTCAAAGTTCATTGATGAAATGTATAAGATCACATGGGTCCAACCTAGTCTTTGATGGAAGCAAGAAAGGTCTAAACTCTAAAGTCTTGCTTACGTACTACAACTTGTGAAGGACACTTGAGAATATGAAATACTAATAGGACCTTACAAGAATCAAGAAGTCCTTTGTCTGCCGATTTTCATCGTCAATATTACGGTCCAAGCTATCACCTCGATTTGCACTGCAGGTACAAAAAGGTACACATCATCAATAAAACGAGAGATGGAGAATGGATTATATTTTTCTAATAAAAGAAAGCGAGAATGACAATGATATTGTTAGATTCTGAACTAAGAACGATGCAATAACTCAAAGGTATAGATCCAGAACAAAACCTCCGACCAATAACAAAACGAATAACTACACCCTTTTCCTCAAGCTTCTTCAGAGCATCACCTGCAATTTACAGTGAAATAGAAGAATAGAGTTATACTTATGAGTTGGAGAAAATCCTTGTTTACACAAAACAATTTAGCTACTCCATATTTATCCAGCATTTTAAATCAAATAATTTTGCCGTCTCTTCATCAACCACTCTCAAATTAGTAAAGTTTTGTATCACAAGCAGTCTCTTCCACTACTTGGTGTTGTCAAGGGAAATTTCGCTCGCTAGGAACTAGCGAAATTTAAAGAACAAGAGCAGCAAACCTCTGGGCATCCAGGAGCCACGGAAGACGTTCCTCTTGAGACGGGATCCAAACCCAGTGTAAACTCCAATGACGGCAAGAAGCTGCTTCTTCTTGTCAGAGTCCACAGCTGCAGTCCTGTTCCCCCACAGGTACCCCTCGCTCTTGGCCTTGGTCAGGTCCATCTCCGCCTCAACAATTTTGCTTCCAATCGCCCTGCCACCACGGCACTTCGAATCAGCAGAGCAGAAAAGTAACACAACAACCCAAATTCACTTACAAAGAACTGAAAACTCACTTGCATCCGAGGTTCCTAAGCTTGTCCTCCACCGAGAGCACCTTCGGGACCTGCAATCAGGTGGCGCCGTCAGGCTGAATCAAGAGGTAGAATTAAAAATGCGAGTAGGCGGAGTGAGGAGGCGAGGAGAGATTCGCACGCTGCCAGAGCTCTTCTCGAGGAATCCTGACAGGATCGCCCGGGTCTGCGCGTCCTGCCACAACCTGAGACGGAGCCAGGAATAAGATCACGACTCCCTATCGGGTGCTGGACCGGAGTGTCTGGGATCTGAGCGGGTAGGGGGGACGTACCGGCCGGCGACGTAGAGCCAGGCGAGGCAGGAGAGGAAGGCCATGACGAGAGGGACCCTGCCCGAGGCGAGGGCGGTGGCGACGGAGGAGGAGGACGGGGCCTTGGACCGGCGGTTCTCGCGCCGCATGGCGCTGGCCAGCGTCTCCATGGCTGCGGAGGAGATCTCCGACGCTGGGCTCGCGGCGGTCGGCGCCTCCTGTCTGCTCTGCTTGCGGCCGTTAACGGAAAGGAAGGACCGAAGGAAAACGCCAGGCTACCTAGCCGTGGGCCATAGAAGGCCAGAACTGGGCCGCGCTCGAGATCATAAGGTTATAGCCTGAGGCCCAAAAATAAATCAACTAACAGCTTTCTAGATGAACCAATTCAGACTGAATTGATTCCTGAAAATGAAAATGGAAGATCCCATTTACCAGGAATTGTTTACACAAAAGTGACATTGTTTATGACTGTTTTTTATCATTATCATATAGAATTTAAATTTCCAATATATATCCGCACCATATTAAGATCGTCACTGAATAGCTGTATTAATAATGTGGCAAGTCTCCAACCGACTGGTATCGTTTCTTTTAAGATCATCACTAATAATTATCTAGAAATTAAGTCCCAATAATCTGGTTTTGACATCTTAGCTATTGGTACAAAAAAAAACACAGTCCATACGATGGACGAAATAACTCGCCACCGTGATTGCCCATCCCTAATATGAGCTAACCCTTAAAACCTTTATTGCCTGATCTACTTCCTAGCATTCTCAGAGCTGAAAATAATGGTTGGAGATCCAATTTTAGCGAACCTCATAGGTGGCAGCAGACAAGTCATGGTCGGACATCCCGACACCGTAACTCACACCTAGAACCTCCAAAATAGAATCTATATTGCCGACTCTATCTTCTAATATTCTCAAATCTAAAAAGTAGTGTTCGAAACTGCAATTCCAATGAATCTTAAGGCAGAGGCAGAGGCGGCCATCGAGGGCAACAGGGAGCACCAAGAAAAAAATGCCACCAGGGGGCCAACACTAATAAGGGCACTATTTGGTAGAGCAGTCCAAAAAAGTGCTTCCTTGAGAAGCTCCAAGGAAAGAATAGTGTGGTCAAAATAAGCTAATTTATCACATTTTCTACATTTAACAAATGAGTGTTGTGGGGAGAAGCCTGGCAAAGAAAAAAATGCAAAAAAAACATGTTTTCTAGTTTTGGGTTGCTTATAAGATGTACCAAACAGGTCCAAGAAGTATAGGTTGTCCATGCGCGGATGTCTTTTTTTATTTTTCAAATGCGAATATTGGGGATTAGGATAAGAAGTTGTTGGAGTGGGGTTTTTTTCAATAGAAAACATATGGAGTCAATTTACCAAATTGTTCTTTAAAAAAATATAGTTTTCCACTTACCTCTCTCATAACTCCCTTTTTCTGAGATCGGCATGGCTGCACAAGGCGTCGACAGCATCGCCTGACCATCGGATCACTACCAATACCAGGATCCCTCCTCCAAATCTCCAACCACGCTGCTCTAGGCCATGCATTGGCCATCCGCGCATTACAGGTAAACAGCCACCAAAAATACATTACGACAGTACATCTATACTGTCGCAACCACGGCCCTATGATTGCTACGCGCGTGAGCATGGAGCTGGACAAAGGCAAATAAAGGCAGCACAACAACCCGCGGTACAGTGACCCAGAACGGATTAGCTGCTCAAGCCCGTACGTGTTGGACCCTTGATTTCCCTCAATTTGATGGTAGTATAATCCAAAGATGTGACAAAGTAGAACGTGAGGGAAATCAAATATTTATAAATATGTTTTTTTTGGAAGAATTATAAATATGTTACCCCTTTTGCCTTTATTTGATCAATGCTATGCCCTACCTTGATTTCCATATCCAATATTTATATGTATTTTTACACTGTATATAGCACTCCTGTCTCCATGAAAAAAAAGGCAAACCGAATTTACTACGGAAGCATTGTCTTATCGACAATGATACCATAAGGATGTCCGTCCCGTGACTTCCGAATGGGTGCGCTCCAAAAAAAAAATCTCCTTCCGCTCGTTTCACTCCCCGTGACGCCTCCATCCCACGCATCCCCTGCGGCGCCTCCGCCCGCCGCCGGTCGCTGCGCCTGCCGCCGGCCCCTTCTTCCCGCCCCTACTAAGCCAGAGCTCGCCGACAGCCGCCTGCGCCTGCGCCCGGCCCCTTCCCCCCAGCCCTAGCCCGGCCAGAGCCCGTCGGCAGCCTGCGCCATCGCCGGCTTGTCCCAGCCTTCCCCTCCGCCCGCCTATGACGGTGGCAGCCCGCATCTCGGCCAAAGCTCGCCGGCGGCCTCTCCCCGCCGCCCCCTCTGCTCGCATCTAGAAGGGGCCGCGACGGCGCTGCCCTCTGCCCGCCCATCCCCCGCTTGCGCTGCGTCGTACGGAAGAAGAAGGGTGAAAACGCATGTTGCAAGCGTGCAAATGTTTCGTAAGGATGTTTCAGATGTTTCATATGTATGTTGCAAATATTTCATAAGGATGTTGCAAAAGTAGATCGGGATGTTACAAGCTTCTGTTGCTAATGTTTCATCTGTTTTTCAGACGTATGTTGCAAGTGTGTTTATTTGGATGTTGCATATGTTCCACACATATGATGCAAATGTTTTATCTGCATGTTGCGTATGTTTTACAATGGTTTTGAGATGTTTTTGCAAGGGTTTCAGATGCATGTTTCAAGTGTTTCGTCTGTCTTGAGACGTATGTTGCAAGTGTTGCATCTGGATGTTTCAAAAGTAAATCGGGTGTTGCATCTCACTCCCTCCTCGCCTTCGGCTGCCTCACCTCGATGTCTCCACCTTCTCTCGGCGCCAGCTAGGCATCCGAACCAGAGGCGCAGGCGGGCGCCGCCCCCTCCCCTTCTTCTCGATGCTGGCAGCGCGTCGTGGGACAGGGAACGGGCCGCCGTGAGTACACGCGGGGCACGCATTCCTTCTGTTCCGTTACGTGGGGGAGGAATAGGTGCGCTCGTTTTTTCTGTTATGCGCTGAGATCGAACAGCTCTTGTTCCTTGAATCGGATGGCCCCGAGTTGTGTCCAGACACGTCCTCAGGTTGGACGTCTGGACGATAATCGTCCTGTTGTCTTATTGACTTTATTAAGTGACCATTAGTGCAGGCAAATCCATTTGCCTGAGCCAGGCTACCGTTTTCCAGTACTTAGGTACTCGTGCTCCTGCCTGTGTCTGGATGGGCAGCTTCGAGATCGAAACACGTCTGTATTGCGGTGTTGCCTGGGACTCATGCTTGGCAAGAGGGGCAAAACAGTCTTTTCTTCTACCAAATGAGACCTTAATAATACACTCAGCATCATCATATAGGAAGAGGGAAAAATTCTAGCCCACAGTGGAAAAGCCTGTAAACTTCCAGTGTCATATAAGAAAGTGTCATATAAGAAATACTCTTGTGGAGATTTGATTCGTCTGCTTTGTCTTGGACAGCCAAGAGTACTTGGTGGTCCAAGGTAAAGGTTAGAGTTGCCAAACCAAAAATTCAGGGTCATAGTTAAGCACGTTTTCTTCCGGTCCAAAAAAGGAATTTTCTCTTGTTTGTGCACATTGGAACATGATGAATGTTCTTCGTTGAAGTATACACCGCCCACCATAACATGGATGAATGGATTCGTCGGTATGATCTGCAGAAAAGCTTCAAACTGACAGAAGGATGTTGAGCGATCAGGAAAATGTGTCATTTGTCATTTCTTACCTTTTCGTGCAAGGTAGCGCTCTCGAGCTGCCTGGATTTTACTGTCCACCTCAGATTGTTTTACATCCATGTCTTTCTTCGACGAGTTTACTCACTTATTCTCTAGAAGTTATTCAGAATCTTTCGGTGCACTCGAACCACCACTGGAATGAGATAACAAAGGTTGACTTTAGCTACCACCAGGTTTGCTGGATCACAGTTTGGAAATAATGCTTTTAATTCAGAACTTTCTCACTATACCTTAATCTGTTTACATCTAATTTCTCAAGCTTCTTTAATATAGGCTCAACCCAGGCTCAATCGACAGCACAGATATTTCTCATGTATGGACAAGAGTTGTACTTATCAGCTCATGATAAATAACGTACATTGGAAACTTCCCATACTCGTCACCTTCCAGTACACCTGCAAAAGAAGTTCAACAAAATTCTCAAACAACACAATGTGAAGAGAAGTCATGAATAAGTTTGACAGGATGATTAAATATGTGATTAAAAGCTTAATTTGTGTTATTTATACCACAAGCTTTGCTCAGATATGATTAAGTGTGGCACTGTGGGTGTGCTCAGATATGATATGCCTAACGTTTTAGTATATCTAAACTACTCTGAAAGAGGGCACACTAGCAAGCAGCTTGTAGTCAAGATGTGGCACACCAAGAAACAATTTAAGTAGCTATCAGCAGTTTCTTTGGCTCCTAAGTCCAATAGAAACAAGGGACAAAAAAGCATGCAAATTTTCACCTTGAGCGGTGCTGATCTTATAAGTATAAATTTCTCGAATATGCAGGAGTGTTGCGTATCATTACATTGAGAATAAAGGAGAGTACAAAACACAAACACCACCCACCACACCCACACCCAAATAAAGTTACAAGTACAATAATGGCTCAGGATTATTCATCTCCCTTAATTTTCGGGTAGCTCAACATTACAATTAGCTAAATCTGACAAAGAAATTACACGATTACATACCTGTACAAGTTGGGTCCTATAGCCAACAGTATGGTAGCCACTGTGATGCAGCATCCTCAGCTAGCTGGTTACCATATCCTACGTAGAGAGCTCTCCTCAGCTTTCTATAGTCAGGGTCACTCTTCCGGCTTTTTCCTTGCATGCACATCAGTTGAACCTAAATTTAACAGCATTTCAAGTTAACTTATGTGGACCTGTTTTCCCGAGATGACACTATAGGAATCTAAGGACACTTAGGATTAAAAAAAACGGACAATTTACAGGAATCCCACTTGTTAGACAGCCGCATAAGGCACCTGGGCCATCGGCCTATTATGGTTAATTACATATTGATTGATATCTATTAGGCAAAGAGATCCCACGGGGTCATGATTCTATAAACCAGCCGGGATCCTCCTAGCCTATATATGTAACATTGCCATTGACCTTCTAATCA